GTTGCAAATAATTCTTTATTCATTGATTTTATACTTTCCATATTTAAATTTTGAATAACAAAAAAATTAAAATATTTCGAATCCTCGAAACAGGAAAATTTGTCGAGTTTCAAGAATTTTTGAGGTTTCAATATTTCGAGTACTAATCTCTACTAATTATGATAAACTCACCAGTTCTGAATAATTGGCTCCCTCCTTCTCTCCCTCTCTCTCTCTCTCTCTCTCTCTCTCTCTCTGTCTAGTTCTATTCACTCTCTGCCTGTTAGTTTGCCTCGTTTTATATAAATTTGTTGCCTGGTACTAACCAATTTTATATGTCAAGCAACTGAATCACATTACATGCGTACATTTCTGTTGTATCGATCTTTCTGCGTTTTTATTTTATCAGATTCTTCCGAGCCTACTCCACTTCATCGACAACCACCAGCAAATTTAGTTTCAATTCTTTTCTTTTGGTGGAGCAATTCTATTCCCTTGGCGGCCCATGGTGGAAAAGAAGTTCGCAACTCTTGGATCAGAGCCTTAACGGCGATTCAAGCTTCTAAATAATTAGCAAAACAATACACGCAACAGACTCACAGATCAGCGATCAAAACATCTAACAAATTAAATATAATTTTTTTCTGAAACGCTATAGTCACATTAATATTACTCACATTAGTATAAATTAACAGCATAAATTATTATTTACATTTATATTACATTTATATTAGGACTAAATATTTAAATGTTACATTGTCGTAAAAAAGAAAATCATGCAACAATAAACCTTTATTTTACTTTAAGAATTTTATATGATTAAAAAGCGTTTCTTTTCTCGATGATGAAATATTGAAAAATTTCTTTTCGTAACTAATTTTATGACAGAGTTCAAAATTGAAGCTACCTCTTTACAATAAAATCCTAGAATTTGATTTTTTTCACTATTTTATTATATTCGGGAGTTTCGAATGACACCTTCATTTATGGTACAACCAAGCCTTATGTTACTTGGCAAGAAAAAAGAGCAGTAAAAAAAAAGACATTGCTGGCTCATTAGAACTAAAAGTACGAGATATATTAATGCGAACTTCAATATCATGGCATAATATTTCCAGAGAAAGTTTTCGAAAATATTTAAACACACTTTACGTAGATTTAGCAAGAAGTGTTAATTATCTCGTCTTGGAGCTCACGAATATCCATAGTCGATAGTAATGAGATATTTTTCTTCAATTTTCCATCAGCTCAAGGCAAAAGTTTTTCGATCTCTCTGAAGATTATTGCAAGTTGAAAGGATGGTCCTCTTTATAATCAACGCATAAAAACAATACTATCACTTTATTTTAAACTCACAGTTTTTGTTCGAACTACATCAGCCAGCGCACGTGACTAGGTTGAATTTTATGAAGCGGAAACGAGTATAACGATAAAAATA